GGGTAGAGTGAGTGGGCACCCAGCATACTATCGTGTCTTGGCCCAGGCACACGGTATGGCAATGTGCCGCACGCATGGCTACTGAATTTTCGAGACATTTTCTATACCAAGGAAAAATATACTATTGAAGAGGGTTGGACTGCTGCGGACGATAATGACTGACCCACCGCTTGGACGGGGATGATAACGCCGCTCCCGCCGTAGGAAACAATATCACCCTCGTTGCAGCTGTCGGCAATACATCGACTGGAATCGAGCCCCCCCCCCCTTTTCTCATTCTCCTACACCTTTCCCACACACGACTTCATTGCTTGCGGGAGATAATGTTGTTTTTTTTGGACCAAACTTAGTTTTTTTAATAAAGAGTAATTTTATTGTATTGCCCTTTTTACCCCTGTCTCATTCCTGCAGGTATGCCTGGAGAGGGGCTGGAGGGAGTACTACGAGGGAACGGCGCTGCGCGACCACTGGAACCTGTGGTGGAAGACTGCGGGCCACTCGGCCTCGCTGTACAAGCAGCTGCGCACTTGGCAGGTAAGGACCTGTGCTGGGACTGGGGCCGAGGAGGACCCGGACAAGGTCCGCGACGGACTCCTCCTGACCTTGGCGCTGCAGCCCAGTTTGTTTGTGTCGAGTCGGAGGCGACCGTGTGCCTCACGAGTGCGGGCGCGGCGACGCTCCACGGCGGGCTCCACCCCGCGCTGCCCTGGCATCCCCGCCGCCGCCGCCGTGCAGGGGGCCCCGACCTGCTCCTCCCGCCCTGCCCCCCGCAGATCACCTATTGAATATTGACGTGGCCCCAAAAAGCAGGCCGACGCGGCGGCGATGTGCTGGGTCGCGCGGGAGGCGGCAGGCAGATCCACGTGGAGACACGTGGATCCCGATGGCCCAGCCAAACTCCAGCGCAGCGGGTGCCCGGGGCCGGGGCTGTCTTCCTCCTTGTCATTGCCTTTACCAGGCCGAAAGGAGTGAATAAGCCACAATAGGATGTAGGTTTCCGGGTCGGCGGGCCCTGCGCACCCCGCGGGGGGCGGCGAAGCCCGCCAGGCCCCTGGGTCCCGTCGGCCGGAATAATGAACGTAAACGCAACGTAATCGTGCATTCTCGTGACCGGCCCCGAGCCCCCGGGCTCAGCCCCCCGATCTCGGCCGCGGGCAGGACGCACCCGGCCCTCCGCGAGGGGAAGGAAATATTGCGCCCGCGAACAAAAGTAAAGTGTGTGCGGCGGGGGCCTACGGCCTGGCCTACGGCCGGACGGAGGGGGCGGGCCCCCGGGGCGGCGGGTCGCAGCTGCGTTCGCGTGCCCCGCGTCCATCTGGGGGCGTCGTGGAGTGCCCGGCGCCGCCCGGCGCGTGCCGGAGTAAGTTGAGTTAGGCCCCACTTCGTCCCGCCCCGCAACGCGGGCGGCGCCGTCCTGTCTCGCCATCGTCGGCGTCCTTCTGCCGAGGAAGGGCGGCGACGGCGTCTCTCTCAGAGGTGGCGTGTCGTCTATTTTTGCAGTTTACGAACCACATCCCCAAGGGCTCGTCCATATGCCGCAAGGACAAGCTGGCGCGGGCACTCGCCTGCATGCGCAAGGTGTACGGCCCCATCTACGACATCAGGTGAGTCCCAGCGGCCGCCCCAGGCCCCCAGGCATAGGCATGCACGTGCACGAGTGATTACGCCCAACTGCATCAAGGGCACGTCCTTCCCCCTCCCCGCTGTCCGCTCCCGCCCCGCCGTCGCTGGCGGGGTTGCGTGAAAGTAAGGTCGAACAGAAATGGAATAAAGTAATTTAGATCGCCGAGCCGATAGGGTGACAGCGTGGCCGGGTGCATCCAGATGCACCACTGCCCGGGGGTGTAGGGGGGTGGAAAGCGGGGTTGGG